GCGGGAACGCGACGCAGCGGGATAAAAGCCACAACTGCGAAATGCCCTTGCTTCGCACTCCCCCCCCAAAAAAAACCCAAAGTTGAAGCGCCCACATTTTGCCTCTGGCCTCTGGCCTTCTGCCTAAGCCCGTCAACTTTGAATTGAGGGGAAGGGGGGTACGCACGCTGGTCCGACGCACTCTAATAACTCAAGGTCTTGGCGAGACAAGCGCGGGCACTTCTAGTCCACCCACCGTCGGGCGGCGGTCTCAGACCTGCACGCCGCCGCCGTCGACGGCGCGCGCGACGCGGCGCGCGGCCGCGCGGCCGCGCAGCCCAGGATAAATCAACGCTTAGCATACCCCGCGGGCGCGCCCAGCATCTGCTGCGCGCGCGTGGCCAGAGGGGGGAATCGAGCATGAAAACGCTGAGGCAACCTAACGCCGAGGCGCCAGCGAAAACGCACTCCAGGAAGGCGTTCGGTTTGCACGGGCCCCCGGGGGCCAGACAGCCGAGAACTGGACATCGCCAATCGAGCGCCGGCGCCAACCAAGGCAAGCGGAGGGCGCCGTCAATTCGCAACTTTGTCTAGCTCGGCCAAAAAGTTAAAGCGCGCGCAGGGCAGGCGCGACTCCAACGCGCGGCGCGAGCGCCGCCAGCACCGCCAAGCAGACGGCCGCGGCTTCAATGCGCACGCATGGGGCGCGCCCCACCTTGCGCGGAACCCGAGCGCGTCGGGTGCCCGGGCAAAACTTCTGGGGCCCCCCAGAGGCCAACCCTTCTCTACGTTGACCCAGAGCTCGGCCCCGGCCCAGTAGCCCCACCCCCCGAAGACACGACAGGATAATCGTCTGCGCGATTCGTTCCCTCTGGCGCTCGGGCCTCTTGGACGCCCGCGAGGCGCGCGCCTTCCGTCGCCGCCCGGGGCCTCCCAGGACCTCGGCGCGGGCCCGCCTGATTCTTCCGACGAGGCCGTGCGCGGCCGTAGCGGTAGCCGAAAGGGCGCAAGATTGGACGACCTCGAAGGGCGCGCTGACGGGCTCGGGGCCAGGAGCCGAAGCGGGCGGCGCGAGCAAGTCCTCCACCCGGCGAGCGCCCGCCGGGCACGAGGGCCCCAGCGCGCTGGAACCGCCCGCACCGACAGGACATGCCGCCCCAGCGCCAGGGGGCGCGCACGACGCCCAGCCCCGCCCACGCGAGACCGAACAGAATGAGCAACGCAACACAGGTTCGGGGAAAGGGCGGGGGCCGCCGGCCCGCAAGCCAGTCGGCCACGGCACTCCAGGAAGGACCTGCGCGGCCTCTTGCGGGGGCCGCCCGAAACTCACGAAACAGACAGAGCTGCACCCACGCAGCGCAAGCGAGCATTCCAATCTCGTCGTCGCGGGGCGGAGCTGCGACGGGGCCCAGAGTCGGAGGATCGCGCGCCGGGCGCGGCGGGCGCGGAGGCGGAGGGCTCGCTCGAACAGCGGATGCCCGAAGGGCTCCGCCACAAACTCGCCCCCGGCAATGGTTGCCAGGTCGCGTCGCGTCGCTGCCCTGCAGGATGGCATCACAGAGCGCGCCCACCAGCCCAAGGTTCGTCTCCGTCCACACTCGTGGCCCACGACGCTCGCACTGCTGCCCGGGGTCCAGCCGATCCACCCGCGCAGAAAGACAGCTACTGAAACGGGCTGGGGCGCGCGGGGGGCAAGTCTCACGGCTGTTCGGGCGACGTCGGGGGCCTCAATATCGAAGATGCACCCGGCGGGGCGGGGGGGGGGCGGGGGGGCAAGTCGGCCGCGCCCCCGGCCCCCAAGGAATCCGCGCTGGCTGCCAGGGGTTCAACCGAGGGAGCACACGAGGCTCACGCAATGCTCAGGACACCTGACGGGCGCCTCATATGGCCTAGAGCTCATCGGCGAACGCCGCCTCCAATTGCTCTGCCCACCTGCCCCTGCGGCACCCACTGCTCGAGCAAACCCCGCGGCAGAGGGAGGAGAGAGCAAGGCGACGTGAGAGGGCGGAGGGGCTGCTGCCCAGGCGAACTGCAGCAAGGGATCAAATTGAGAAGGGCCGCGCAAGAATCAGCGCACATGACTGGGGACACCGCGCGAGTTAGAGCAAGCACACACGCGCGCGTGCACAAGCCCAACAGCGCAGGCAGACTGAGCGGCTGAAGGGGCGAGGTGGGCGGAGCCGCATCGACAGTCAGCAACGCCGCTGCCAGACCACTTAAAATCGCGCGGGCGCGCGCTGCGCGATCCGGGCGGCCCGCTGCCCGGGCGCGCCAGGCGCGACTCCCCGCTCGCAACCTGCGCTCGCGAGCTTCGGGCATGCCCTCAAGAATCCCCAGGCCCGCGATCCCAATGACAAACGAAGCCCCCCCAAAAGACCCCCACCCCTCGGGCTCTCCACGCACCGCGGGCCACCGATCCCTCAGCAGACCTAGCGACGAAGGCTGTGCGCAGACAAGCGCCCAAGCTCCGAGAGGTGAACCTGCGAAACCGAAAGAAATAAACGCACCGACCCTTCTGATCCGAAGGATAAGGCTCTCGGGGCGCTGCGCTGCAAGATGCCCCCGAGCAAGATGCCCTGGGCAAGACGCCCCCAAACTGCCGAGGCATGCTTCACGGCAAGTGTAGCAGCGCATGGGCCCAGGCCCCAGATGTCACCATCAACCGCGCGTGTCTGAGGCTGCTCGGACTCAGAGCAAGTGAAACCTGCGGCCGCGTACTTCTCCCGTTTAACAAGGACGACAACCTTGGAAACCTCGAGATGGGAGCGAAAAGGTCTGGCAGGGGGGCGGGGGTGGGACTGACCTGAAAAAACCCGAACTCGCCACTGGCCCAGCGCGGACCCCGCCCCATGGAAGAACGCGGCACAGCGAGGCCCGCATGCGGTCTCACTGCGCTCGCGTCTCCTGCCGAGGCGGGCTGTTGTTCGCCCCTGCCCCCCCGGGGGGCTCGGCCCCGGCGGCGCCGCCGTCGACGCGACTGACTAGACCTCCTAGGGGCTCCTGGTGCGGGTCTTCTTGGGTCTGCCGCGCCGGCTGCGTCGGCGCGATGGTGCCGCCTGCTCCAGGCGGCGCAGAGGGTCTCCTCGGGCTTTCGTCAGTCCGCAGCTGGCACTGGCGAGGCCGGCGGCGGCGGCGCAGCGCGCGGGCCATCGGTGAACGGCGTCCGCGGGCGAGGCTGTCCGGGCGGAAGCGGGGTCGGCGATGGCAGGCGGCCTGCGGCAGGAGGCGCGGCTGGAACCGGCGAGCCCACTGCTGCGGAAGACGCTGCTGCCATCCGCGCTGACTGGGGGGGCTCCTTCTGTTGGGGAGGGGCCCCGGCTGTAAATCCCACGTTCTGAGCATGACCTTGGAGAGGCGACGATATCACACCCCATCCGCCGATCTGGAGTCGATTGGATCATGCTGTTCATCAGTTGTATCGCGTGACTGAACTGATCATTGCGTTGCTGCTGGGGCTGCGCACTCGAATACAGCTGAGGCAACTGCTGAGCTGGCAAGGGTGGTGGCGGCGGTGGCGGCACGGTCATGCACGTAGCGGATGCTGCCGCGGATGCCCATCCAGCTGCACTGTGTCGAGCTCCGCGTTGCGTGTGTATCTGGTAGCCAATCGTCGCAACAGTCGCTTCGCCTGGCACGCCCCCTACACAGAACTTCTCATAATCATGAGCCATGCTGTCATCATCTCTTGTGATTCGGCCAACTTTCCCGATTATGATATATTGTAGCGAATGCAACCGAACTCCTCTTCAGCCTGTCTCATCCTCGATGATAGTTCTGACATGATTCATGTTTAATATTATTCGTGCGGTGAATCACTCGGTCTTTGGCCTGTCGTAGACCATTCAGCTGGCATGTGATCGTATCCGTCGTGGCCTGCATGAGATTCACAACTGTGATGTCCTGCATTATGGATGCGTCTGGGTGGCCTGCTTCATACGCTGCCAGCGCCAGCTTAGCCAACTTGTTCAATATGTCACAAATCATTGCCGTGAGCTGCGCTCAGTTTCATGACGCCCGTAGGTGGTTATCGAAACAAATCTCGACCCGTGGTGTGGCCTTCACCTTCGTCCTTGTGGCTGGTACAACTTTGACAACAAACGATAAAACTGCAAAGATCTCGGTGTCTTCCTTGTTATCCTTTGCCTTCCTGAGAGAAGGGCCACGAGGAACAGGGCAACCAACTGGGCTTGGGACAACTGTGTACCCTGGTGTGGCTTCAACTTCTCACTATTGGCGTAGGTACATCCACACAGGCATCTCCAGCGGTGCGGTTTGGACACCATCCCGCAGCAACGTTCGCCATGCCATTGGACACGAGGACCTCGAGTACGTGGGCCGCCTTCTCGGTTGTTCGACATGTCGTGGGAGTGGTGGTTCCGCAGAGCGGATCTCGCCTGAAACGCACGGCGTAGCAAGCGGGCCGATGCCCTCTGGCACGTCGGTGCCAGGAGGCCTCCTTGGCCGTCGTCGTAGGATGCCAGACTGAAATATGTCCACATGACAAGGAAAAACGTGGCACGGCACAAAAAGGAATGCACAGTCAAAGATGACAGAAAGAAGAAGTGCAGCGCACGATTAAGGCTGTACTGTTACGATACACACACACACACATCTTGTGGCCCTCACCGAGTGCCACAACAATTCGGTCCCCTCCTCCTCCTCCTCCGCCTCCTCCTCCTCGACGAACGTCCCCCTACGCGCCACGCCCTCTCGGCTGGAGGCAAGTCGCTGGGCGACGAGGTAAACGCCTATTCCCCGAAATTCGGGCCCATTTCCTCCCGTAATGGGGAGGCCAGGGGTGCCGGTTGCTTGCCATTGCGGCCTGCCTGCGTACGGTGTGCACCGCGCACTTCCTGGATCCACGACTCCATGACTCCATGACTCCTCCCTCCTCCTCCTCCTCCTCCTCCTCCTACTCCTCCTCCTCCTCCTCCTCCTCCTCCTCCTCCTCCTCCTCCTCCTCCTCCTCCTCCTCCTCCTCCTCCTCCTCCTCCTCCTCCTCCTCCTCCTCTTCTTCCTCTCCCCCCACTCCTCCTCCGCATCCAGCGCTCCAGGCACCGCGTGGCGCGCAGGGACCCCCGTGCGCTCCGCCGGAGATCGGAGCGACGACCCGCCACACGCGCCAGCCCCGAGGTCGTGGCACCGTGGCATCGGGCTGCGCCGCGGCGCGCCAGCAGCTGCTCCGCACCCTGCGAGCGCGCCGTGGCGAGCGCAGCTGCGAAGACCGAGGCGTCGAGGCCACGGGAGAGAGAACAGTCCACGACGCCAGCCTGCCAAGGAGTGCATGCCGTGAGCGGCGAGCACATCCGTATCTGCGCCCTCGCGGTCTGGACTCCGGGGCGCGATCCCGCGCATACGCGGTCGCACGGATATGTTCCGCGCGGGGCATATGAGAAAAAACGCTCCGCATCCGCGGGGTCGCGGCCCAGGGGCCCGGCCCGCGAGGCCTCGAATATGGATATCATTTCGCTCACGAGGCGAGCAGGTGGATCGACAAAGCCAGAGAGTGCACCAGAGGGAAGAGCGCGGAGTCAACTTTTTTCGGCTGCATACAACCTAGGTCTCCCGCACCGCACCACGGCATCTCCTATGCGGCTGCACGTTGCTCCGCATGACCCCGCCAGGTTTGCCCATCCTAGACTTGAGGAACGGCCCGAAAAAGCATAGCCCCTCCTGAGCCCAAAGGGATCCTCATTTCAGCAACTTGACCGTGGGTCTCTGCTTCGGGCGGGGCAGCCAACATGATGGCGCGAGGGCGATGTTACCTCTGCGGAGGCCGAGCGGGAGCAAGGTGACAGCCGCACGCGATGTCGTCCTCGGACACAGCACCGTGCGACGGCCCCGATGTGCCCCAGGGGGTGACCAGACTGAGGCCCAGGCCCAGGGGGGGCCCCCGAAGGCACAGAACGAAGGGATACCGTACAGCGCCTCTCGAGAATGCCACATCTTTCAACGAGCTCGGGTGCTTCCGCCTTTTTTCCCTTTATGCTCCTCCTGCCCCTCCTCGGGGGCAGACCTCTGAAAAACGACGCTTCTCGAAAGGACACGGGTGGACATGCCCGCCCAGTCTCCGCCCGCTCCCAGAAGGAGAACGGAGGTGCAGCAGCACCGGCCTGGCCCCTGGAGAGGCCCCCCCAGCCACAAGAGATAAGACCGCACTCCGCCCCTGCTCGTCCTCCACGAGGCGGGAGGACCGCGGGGCGCAGGGGGAGAAAAGAGCGGGAGGAGACTGAAGGAGAAGGCGATTAAGGACAGGAACTCTGGCTTAGCGTATCGCTCCGCCGATTCTGGCCCACCACGCTGAGGCGCGACACGCTCGGCATAGCGTGTCGCTAGGGCCGCCGCCGTGACACGCTAAGCAAAAGTTCCCGACCGCAGCAGCTCTAACACGAAGCCAGCAATGGGACAACATCGCATCAGGATCGAGTGGAGGATCTCTGAGGTCCAGCGGCTACGGAGGATGCATCGGGAACCGCTCCGAGGGCGTCCTGGAACGCTCTGGCGTGATCTACAGTCGTGGTTGATTGGAGAGGACACAAGACCCTTCCGAGGGCCACATTGCCATAGGAATGCAAGAAGGCATGGGTCGCGAAGCTCAGGACACGAGGGTACCCTCGATTTGGCAGGGTCGACCTACGAATAAGTCTCGACTGTACCCCGATCCCTGGCCTGGCTGACGAAGGGAAGGGGGGCGATTGGCCATGCCCCTCCCCCACGCCCCTCGAGACAAGGAGCAGGGCTCCTGGGCCTGCAATGCTTGTGCGGGGCTGGCGGTGCTGGCCCCGCGCGGTGCTCCCAGCCACAGCGCCAGCTCTCCGGGCCCACGAGAGGACGAGGGCCCGGAAGAGGGCGAGGAGACGCTCGAGCTGGTCAGGCTGGGCAAGATGGGGATGAGGGGCAGGAGGGGGGCGGGGAAGAGGGGGGGGACTGCACTCGAGGCTGTGGCGGGGGGGTCCCCCACGGCCCCACCCACCCACCCGGCCCCAGAACCATCTACCCAGACATCCTATATGATGTGTCCGATCCGCGGCCCGAGCTCCCGACCCCTCCCCATGGGGCAGGCTTGCGTCCCAGATCCGTTTTCGACGGTCCCCCGGCCCAGCAGAGGCCGCCCAGTGCCGAAAAGATGGAACAACGCCGCGATTGAAAAATCATGCCGTCGGGGGTCTGGATCTCCTGGGCTACCCCCTGGGGATCTTGGTCGGCCAGGCCGTCCTAATGCCGCCCTGCTCACGCACGGCAGCCCCGCACTGACGTCGCTGCGCGCTGGAAGCGCAGGCGTATCCTCGCCTCTCCCGTCCTCTGCCTCCTCCTCCTCCTCCTCCTCCTCCTCCTCCTCCTCCGGCGAGTGGATGGAGACAGCCCCAGCCTTGGGGAAGCTCCACAAGAGCATCAAAGACGACCCTCTCGTGCCCATTGAGGTCGAAGTGGACGACACGACGCTGATTCACCCCAGGGACGTGATCGACCACAAGACGGCCAAGTGGCGCAAGCTTTGGTGCCCTACTCGAGATGACGTTGAGGAGGTCAGGGAATGTTTTCGGCAGGCGAAGGAGCGAGCTCAAACCGAGATCCTCCCTGAGATCACGGGGGACATGGTGCGAGCAGCGGCGCATCGGATGCGCCCACGTTCTGGCATGGGAGCTGATCAGATGTCTCCTCTCGACTTTGAGAGGCTCCCGCAGTCTGCCCTGACGGAGTTGGCCCAATTGTACATGTTGTGCGAAGAGCAGGTGGTGTGGCCGCACCAAGTTTTAGTGGTGCTCGGCCGCTTGCTGCCGAAGAAAGGTGGAGGCGACCGCATCATCGGCTTGCTGACGATGTTCGCGCGCGTCTGGTCGCTCATACGCGAGCCCCTCGTGAGCGACTGGAGCGATGAGACGGCGGCCCACTGGGACGCAGCAGTGCAGGGCAACGCCGCCCTTCGCGAGGCGTTTGTCCGAACGCTTCAGGAGGAGGTCGGCCATGTGTTGTGCGTACCATCAGGACATGGACTATTAGATATAGAAGCTTTTTACGACAGTATTCGCTGGCAGGTGGTGCTGCCGAATGGGTTGAAGTTGGGATTTCCCGCTGCAGTGTTATGCCTCGAGACGCTCCAGTGTATGGCAGTTCGTACACTTGGCCAAAGGGGTGCTTGGTCCCTACCTCTTATCCCTACCCAATCAATTGTTCAAGGGTTGAGGTCAGGGACACGTTTTGCACGGATAGTTGTCTACTTCACGCTGCAGAAGATATGCACGGCCCATCCACGCATGGGCCACCGCATATGGGTGGATGATTTATCGCAGCGCGCCGTCGGGTCAGTAGCTTCAGTCACCAGCGATCTGATCAGGTGCCTTCGAGACACATGCCGAGGCATCGCTCGACTGCATCTTCGAGTGGCCCAGAAGAGCGTGGTGATGTGCTCGGTTTTCAAGGAGGCGGTCAAGGTATCGAGAGCTCTGCGTCGAGCAGGGTTCACGGTCAAGGCGCAGCGGACGGCGGCGTACCTTGGCACGGACCTGGGCAACGGCAGCGTGCACGCCAGAGCTACGCGCCGCGCTCGGTTCCAGAAGTATGGCAAGATGCACGAGAAGATAAGGAAGTACAAGTCGGCGGGCAGGAGGTATCAGGTGGCTTCCAAGCTTGAGAGGCTTGGGGCTCAGGCCGCGGGCTCGTATGCCTACCAGATCCACGGGGTCTTCGGCAGCTACCTCACCACCTACCGCCGACGGCTCGGAGCGGCCGTTGGGTCAGCGGCGCGCGGCCGCTGTCTCACGACTTTGATCGGTCTGAAGACGCCAGTTGATCCAGCCCTTCGTATGCCCGAAGAGTGTGTCAGATTGTGGTTTCGTATGTGGCAGCAGCAACCATCCCTTCGTGCAGGGGTCCATGCTTCGTGGCCTACGGTGGTTGCTCGCCTCCAGCAGGTCGAGCCGCAGCATCGTTCGCGTCACATTCGCGGACCCTTGTCAGCCATGGTGGCTCTGCTGTTAGACAATGGGTGGAATCCTCAGTCGGCGATCTGTTGGGCCATGCCACCGACAGACACAGGCGAGGTCATCGAGTGGCAGTTTCCCGACACGGCTTGGACAGGTTTCGTCGACGTCGATGCCCCGTCAGGATTGGTCGCAGATTTGCAGAGTTCGATCTCGGCGAAGCTGTGGCAGAAGGCCAGTGAGCACTTCTGCGGCGGCGGGGTCGAGCACGGCGTGGACATGGTGTCGCTGCGCAGGCTCTACCAGCAGTTCGCCAGCATGCCGAGGGGTAATAGGATGGCGGAGGTGCTCAGCATGGTGGCGTCGGGCGGCAGCTGGCCGAGGGATCGGCGAGCAGCCTGGACTGCGGTGAGTCCCCCGCAGATGGCCGAGGAGTGGTTCGTTGCAGGCACAGCCGCGGCCGACGACGACTGCTTGGCGTTCGGGGTCGGTTCGGCCCAGCAGCCTCTGTGGCTGTTCGGCGACGCCAGCGGCGGCGCCGACTCGGCCGACAGCCGCTTCAAGCGCGTCGGGCTGGCGGTCATCAGCATCAGGTGCTTCGACCCGCTGGTCCTCGACGGCATGGTGATGGGCGGGCTCCCAGGGGCGCGGCAGAGTGTGCCTCGCGGAGAGTTGCTCGCCCTGCTCACGGCAATCAGGATGTCGAGCGGAGTGGTCAACTTCGTCACGGACAACAGTGGCGTGGCGGACGGCTGGTACTCGAGGAGGTACTTGCGGCCCGTCGGCGAGGACGCGGACCTGTGGCACCAGGTCGGCCAGGCCCTCACGGGGCGGGACCCAGCAGAGTTCACAGTCCTCTTCGTGAA